AATCCCGCCCACTGAGTTTGATGGGAAGGATGACAGATAAAAGTGTTTCATGATGCACTGCTGGAGCAGGAAACATGAAATAATTAAATAAATAGTGGAATAAATAGATGTGTTTTTACATAGAATGAATGAACATTTTAAATTATTATTTAAACATTTATTTAATTATTTATGTATTTCATAAATTATTTATTTATATATTACCAATTTTAAATAATGACACATTTAAACAATTATTTAATTATTTAATAACCCATGCATTTAATTAATTAAGTAATTATATATTTATTTATATATTCGTTGATTTATTTCCAATATTAAATAATTGATGACACATTTAATGATTTGACTAATTATATATTTATATATTTCATTTTGTCACTTTTAGTCCTCCATACTCGTAGTAAGGCAAGGCAAGTTTATTTATACAGCACATTTCAACAGCAAGGCAATTCAAAGTGCTTCACACTAGACATCAAAAGCATCATGACAGAGGAAAGAAAATAAACATTAAAATAGAACATTAAAAAAAAGTAGTCGTAGTCGGCTAGGTCTTAGAAGTAGGCTACAGTAATAGTCAGTGGTGTATCTAGAATCTTGTACCTTAATAAAAAGTAGCAACATCAAACAGTATAAATACCCTGTTGCAATGAAAAGTCCTGCATTGAAGTAATTGATTATGTAGTAAAACTTTCATATGAGGTATTTATGTGTATAAGCCTATATTTTGCTATGGCGCTGGTGAGTCTATAAAATGCTTTAAAATGCAACCAGTAGGCTTGAGAACCTATAGTTGTCAAATAACTCTAGTGCAAAAAATGTACATTTAAGTATTTCCCTCTGACCTGAGGCAAAATAGAAGTATGTAGCTGAATGGACATATTGAACAAAAGGGTGTTAAATATAGCTTCATTCCATTCAAAAGTTGTTCCATCATTAGTAACTGTGAATAAAATAACAGTAGCAATCCATAGTAAAGCAAGTATTTGAAGGGCAGTAGAAGCAGACTTAAGTTCTTAAAAAATATTTGAGGGGGGAGACAAGCAGCTGCTCTTGGGCCCCAAAACCTCAGGGGGCCTGCAGTGTCCAGGTTCACCATGTGGCAATTCGTTCTTGCTAATCTAATGTATTAAGCATTAGCATTGTTAATACTGTTTGCAAATCTAATGCACAACATTCACTGACACGATAAGGGCCCTAAATTGACACTGGCTTTGTTGCCTAAATTCGGGGGCCTCCTTATTCAGGCCTTGAATTAAAATCTAAAATAAACCTTTAGTGATTGATTGATTTTCATATTACACTCAAATTATACATAGTCTCTCAAGAAAAGTGCTGAATCAAGGTAACACAACTATTTATTTTAATGCTCACACCATTTACTAAAAAGGGAAGACACATTTTGATCTATAGGCCTAAAGGGTTAAATTAACCATGTATATAACAGAGAACATACATGGATAACAAAATAAATACTGATATTTACATATGAACTCTATTCCCCTTTCTTAAAGAGTGAAACAAAAATAACATTTGGATTGGTGGGTAATCCCCTTGTTCCATCAGTGCACTTAGAAATGAGTATTTTCATGCACATTATATGGCAATCAAACCATTTACAGTAAATAACTGTTTACTTGTTAAGCATGATTATATTCCTCGCAGCAGTGGCTGAAGAGATAAAAGACTCATTGTCTTGCTCAGGAGACACCGATCATTTATCTTTTTTTTTTTTTTTTTTATCTTTGGTCCGGTCCCATGGGTGATTTGCAATCAGGCCTGCAAATGGTTACATGTGCCATAAATCTTTACAACTGGAGGTTCAGAATTTAAAAGTAATGCACATGCTATTTACTGCATAAACTCATAATGACCATCAGAATCCTATTCAACCAGTCAAATGTGGAAAAAACAGGTTAGCTAAGCATTCTTTGCTAGTAAATGTCTCCTTGAATGACATGATAATCTGGAAAAATACAAATATGAGCACTTGTTTTTTTTAGGGAGAAATAGGTTAATAAACATCCACAAAAGAGACATCTCCACATTTTTGTACCACTTACTCTGCTTACTTACTTACTTACAAGCCTACTCTGTAACTGTGGTGGAAACAAAACAAGGAAATGAATGCAAAAGTTAATATTAACCGCAGGAGACTTTGCTATTCAAGGACAGTCACATGCAACTAAAGTGCTTCACTAGTTCCTCATTCTGAAAAAGTCAAAAAGAAAATTTCACCGGCTTTCAACACAGACACACCAACACTCAACTGTCCTTAAACAAAGTGGTAATGAAACTCTCTCATTGTTCCTCTCTTTGAGATAATTACAGCTTTTTACACATTCAGGAATCCAGCGTTGTGTGCAGCACAGTGTTATTATCATGCACTGAACTGATGAACATGCTCCCTCAGCAGATTTTTAGTGTGAACATCTTTTTTTCCCACTGGTGATAAGCACACATTCTGGTTTCAATGTGATTCCCTCATTTAGAGACGCATTTCGCTCTGCAGTGACGTCTTCATAGCCTGTGTTAGTGTCCTGATCAGGGGGACGTGAACCCTCCAGGGAGCCCCCATCTCCTGCAAAATGTAACCCGCTCGCTCTTCCAGCGCTACATCCCAGCTTCACTGTGATTAAAGCATGACCCATGATGTGTCACCACACTATACCCCCTGCCTCTATACCCTCTGGTGGTTTATTTATACCCTCAAAGAGCTATAAATCCCCAGGTGAAAGTGCTGCCCTTTTCACCGATCAATCTCCCCTCCTGGGCCACTTTGCATTGGAACCGTAAAGTCAATGCAGTGAGGAGGCTTGTGTGTTTATAAGATGATAAATCACATCTTATTTTCTCCCACAGAACATTTAATGTGTTAATGATATCACCAATTTGGCTGATATAGTTGCAGCAAGGGTTGTTTCACACCACTGGCATAACTTGTTCTGCATAAATGCTGCATAAATGCTCAAACCTCCCTCTGTGGCACTAAATAGTTTATGAGCATTTATGGCCCATGACCTTTCTAATTGTGGTTACCTTACTGAGATTTTATGCTGCAAAAATACGTAAGCAGCATTACATTATTTTCCTCCAGGCAGGCGAGGCTGCACTGTGGCACCACCTCCTCTATGACCAGTGGGTGCACGTCCACACAGACTGTCTGGGACATTTGGTTTTACAGTCTGTGAAAACAGCCTTTGTTAAACACAACATTCCTCACTAGTCACATTGGTGAGCCAGTCCTTGCACACCTCAAACACCCCCCCCCCACACTCTGTAGCCACTCTCATGGTCCCATCCCCTGCCAAGGCTTGACCAACAAGCAGGGAGAGGTCACCTCAATGCTGACGCTACACACTCCTGTTTGCAACTTTAGAGGGTCTTCCCCATAATGAGCCCCCTCTGTAATGACCCTCTGCAGTGCACGCTGACCTTTAGGAAGGCAGACATGAACGCAATTAAGACAGCGTACCTGTTACAAAGCAAACTCACATCACTGAATGAGTAGATATGGTTACAGTCTTGCATGTATTTTTGACCTTGAACGTAAACAACGGAGCAGTAACAGAACAGTGCGTCATGTCAAACTGTGGTGTAAATGAAAACACAGGTTAAGAGCCAATTACACGTGCAAATGTAAGTACATGCACCAGAGCATGCTGAATATCAAGGGTTCTCTAACAATCTGGTGCCCCTAGTTATGCAGCACTACTCCGAATTCAAAAAAGAAATGGTGAAGGTCATTGCTACTTCAATTAAAAAAAAAGGTTTTACAGAGAGAGATAATGGCGCAAATAAAATACTTACACTGGACAAGAGCTGAGGCTGTGGAGGCAGGGTAGCCACCTAAAGCAATTAAAAGTGAGTGTTACGATGTATGAAGATCGCCATCTGCTGGACGTAAAAGAAACGTTTATAGCAGAAATGAAGAAATCCTTTCCTTATGTACATTCATGTCAGCGAATATGGAAGGAAATACATTTGAAACGTCAGCGGGAGATATTTGATAACTGCTGAGTTCTTCCTCCATAATTAACACCGGGCAAATTAACAGGGGTCCCTCAAAGGCCATTATGAAGTGAAGGACAATTTGAAAAACCTTTTTAGTATACATATAGAAAGAGTAATGTTATATCACCCTCACCTAATAAACATGGTTTGTTGCACACATCACACATCATTCATGTTTGACCAACCGCACACACCTTAGCATCAATCAGAGTTACTCAAACCGGTATCATTGCATTAAAAACATGCAGGCTTAAAGCAAAGCAATTCTACTGACATTGTTTCCCAATTTAAAACACATCACTACTCAAGTTTTTTTTTTAAACACTGATCAGAGGTATTCCAGTTTGTTTCCTTTTCTGTGACAGTGTGGAAAGAGGTGACACTGAAGATGAAGTGATGACATGGAGGGAGTTGATAAACGGCCTAAAAGCTCTATAGGGGACAGTCTGGACATGGCTAATTTGCAGTGAAAGTCGAGTTGTTGAGTGAAATAGAGAGACACAAATAACATGTAAAGCAACACCAATTCAGAGATGTTCTCAGGGTAACTTGGGAATGAGGGAGAAATGAATTTGAAGATTTAAATGCATGGTGTCTTCATGATAATTGTCAGCTAGTTCCTTAAATTGTACAATAAACATTGTTCACAAGTTTTTCCGACATGATGACTGGATGATGGTCACTTTAGCAAACAGAATATTTCCCAAGATGTGACAACAGAGGGATGTTTTGTTGCACCAATACCTCATATGTGAAACATGAACAGAGAAGTTGTGAAACATTTCTCTTTGTTGTGAAACAGTACAAGTGGAAACATAGTTTGAAATGTTTCCACCAGTAAGTCATTTGGATAAAATCCATTAAAAAGCAGCACGATGCTCTTGTCGCTCCAGTAAACTTAACATCCAATTTCATTAAGAAAAATAAACAACAAAAGCAAAAATAGAGAGATTATAGATTTCAAATCAAGACAAAAATGTAAACAGTTGTATGTTCCACATGAGTGTCTTGTCTTTATTATATCATTTTTGACAAAAAACAAAACAACACAAAAATATGACGCAGCAAAAGTCACAAAATCACATGACATGAAAGAGAAAAACATCACCCTCTACACACCGGAATCAGTTGATAATCAATACTGAAATAAATAGTTATTACAATGTCTCCTAAATTATGGAGACGTTGCCCCTAATTTGGTGATTTACTTTTTCAGTATCGCAGTTTATGTGCAGATAACATGAGACAAATCAATCCTAGTGCTGAACACAACACAGACTCAAAAAATAAGGACTTTTTTCCCCCCCAATATAACACAGGGTGTTTTTTTCAGTCTTCTCTCAGATAAGCCTCAGGCACCTCTTCCTCTTCATTAGTATTCTGTAAGGAGGCAGCATACTGTGCCATCCTTTCAACCTCCATTACTTTAGTCTCAGCCAGCTTCTTATCTGCATCTGCTGACAGTTTTTGTACCTCATTCACCTGCGTCTGGGCCACCTGAATGTTTGTCCTCACCGTGATGGACGCGTGTTCGGCTCCTGAAGACACACACATGCAAAAACACGGTTACATTTTTCAAGAAGGTTCAAAGGTTGACATAACACCACCTCGAGTTCAGACATTAGGTGTGGTCATTAAGAAGGCCCTCCTGTCCATCATCTCCATTTTGCTACACAAAGCCCTGTTGAATGACAACAAATGATCCACACAGCGTCCAAAGAGCAACACTGACAGCCGCTGAATTGGAACCAGCACAGAAAGCAACACACAAAGCTTTGAGACATAATTCAAAGCGAAACACTTGTATTTTTCAGGACAAGAGAAAACCTCACTTCCCGACTATTCAATCACCCAACTCAGACACTTTTACACACCTGAGGTGTATGCCGCCTCCGCTGCAGTTTCACACAGCTTGACTGCAGTGATCCAGGTTAACTCGAAACGCTTGCATTCATCTTGTCTGTCACTAACCTGTCAGGAAGAGAGAGTTATAAAACTAAAGTAAGACTCAAAGAGGCCGACAACATTGTTGTTGTAGTGGGTGTGCTGTCATGTTTATGTTCCAGCAATCAATAAACAGAACACTGAATGCTTTGCTCAGCTTTTTCAGGAAGTTTTATCAAAAAAGGCAAAGAAAAGACGTACCTCTGCACGCTGGCGAATTATCACCTGCCAGATTGTGTCCTCTTCTGCTGGAGACAGTTTCCCCAAAGAGTCCAAATATCGCCTTTGGAGAGCGATGAGTGTGTGCACAGCCTGTCAGCAAACACAGGGCGTACATACACAATTTGCATTTTAGAATCTGAGATCAACTGTAGCTTAAAAGTAGCACCAAAAAGTCATATGAACACTTTTTCGACAATTTTAGCTGAAAAACTTAAGACAGAAACAGCACTTCAGACTGTAGACTCTCTACGAGCCAGAGGAGTGTTTTGTTTTTTGACGCTTTGAGCCACAACAAATGACTCCTCATACTCCTCTTGTATCTTTGAGTGGCAACGGAAGGTGAACTCAAGATTAAATCCAACACATGCTCTACAGTTTGTACGGAGATCACACGGAAAAAACTGTCATTGGTTTGTCTCTACACACCTTAACTTTCTTTAACTTCTCTATATACATTTTTTTTTTTTTTTTTTTTTTTTTTTTTTAAATGTCTGTCTTCCTGAACTAAAACATTTGCAGAAGTACATTCACTTTCTGTAACAGCTCAACAATCCCTGCTAACACAAGTGCTGGTCTTCACACATTGGAGATTAGTTGTATTTTATATATCTGTACTCTATGTTTTGTTCCTTTACTAATGAACGTATGTTATCTTACATTTAATTCCATGATGCCAAATAACATCTGGCAAAGGGACTGCCGATGAAAATTAGCCTGTCGGCCAATTCGGGTACATTTACAACCGTCTGAATGTTGATTAATATACACTGCCCCTTTTCAAATAAAACATCAAATACAATTAGATTTACATCAACATGGGTAATACAACATTCTTTAAATCAAGCGCATCCTGCCACCTACATAGTTTACTGTGAGTCGTTAAATAAGCCTCATTATAAGTCTAGGACTATCTCTGGATGTGGGAACACGTTTTCCACACTTACCTTTGAGTAGTCTGTGATGGCATCTATGAGAGCAAGGGTGGCCTGAGAGAGGAAAGTGCTTGAACTGTCTGTAACCAGCGATGCTGCTCGTTTGACCAGAGAGTCATGGGAGAGGTTGTCAACCTGCACCAGAGACACCAAGGGGAGAAAATAATGTGCATGATATGCTTCAGACGACTGCTGCATGTGTGAAGCACCTGGAATTGTCTTGCATGTTGACATGATAAACTCGCCTTTGCATGTATTTGTCAGGCTGCGGTGACTCACCTGTCTGAAAGGTATCGCACACAGTCCACCGCCGACAGATAATGAGGCAACGCTGCTGAACAGAATACTTTTCCATTTCCCTGGTTTCCTGTTGCCGAGCAGGACACGAGCAGAACTCCTGAATAAAACAAAGAAATGAGTTTAAACTTACAGACAGTAATTAACTCATTTAAGTTCTTAGGGCACTGTGACGTATAGAAACCTAATGTAATATTGGTAGTTAACTAGATGACTTACTCACCACGAAATTACGAAGATAGCTTTGAAATGTATTTAAGGATGCGGACAAGCGCTCTCTTGTGCTGATAAACTAAATAATTAATGATAATTTAGGTCGTGAAAATCAAGTTTTACATGTATACTGACGACTTCCGGTTGTTGGTAAAACAAAAAAACAAGCTTTATCATTTCCTATAACAAAGTCAACAGCTACATTTTTTTTTTTTTAAGACTTAAGATAACGCGCACAAGCTTGTATGTGATATTTGTCCATTCAAACGCTTTTTACTGGAGGAAATGTCTTACCTGAGGAGCCGGAGGCAGCTTGTTACCTTCCGTAGCGCGGCCATCTTGGTCCGCCACAATAAACAACCTTTCCTCGTCACTGATCAAAGGTTCCACTGCTGAGATAGAGTGCACTGAAAACTGGCGACCTCTGGTGGTGAATACAGGAACATTCTCTTGTGCTCGAAATTACAAGGAAATGAATATTGCTGTAATATGTCAAGCAAAGTGACAGAGTTAAAGAAAAGTCTCTGTGTGTGGTTGTGTTGTTCAAATCATAACACCTCAGAGAATATTAGAAACATATAAAAGGCTTCATTTCGAAAATTTAGAGACTTATGTCGGTTGTGTAGCGTGTTGTTTGACAGTTTAGTCAGAGCTCTGGATGCCTGAGAAGCTTTTTCACACTGGGCTCTGCGCTTGTAAGGGTACAAGAAGTGCTTGTCAAAGACGTACCAAAATGTTTTGCATTGACATATAAGTAATCTTTGGTTTTCTATGTATGTGCAACAGAAACATCAGTACCCCAATATGAAACCTGAAAAGGTTTGACTTGATTTAATCCTAGTGATTGAGACCAGGATTGTCTACAATGTGTGTGAGTGTGACAACTTTGTCCAAATTGCTACAACAAAGCATAACTAATGTATAAAGTGTCTGTGACAAAATATGTACTTGATAATGTAAGGGATGAACACTCTTTTATTCTTATACCAATCTAAGTCTTGGAGTATTTACCAGCCAGGTACTGATCAGAAACTGACACCATTATTCTCAGAAAAAGTAAAACTTTGTATCTCACTGCACCGGACAGGCTGGGGTCATTTATTCACATGTAAGGTAACATAAGGATATTATTTGACCAGACCTTCTAACTAAGAAGAGGCTATGATTTTAAATTTCTGCAGCCATAATAACCCATTGATATAGAGAGGGACGCAAGCAAGTGTGTATACAACAATAAAATAAAGACATGAGTATAACATCTGCAGAAAAACACTGATAGAATAAGCATGATTGTTCACACATCAATCAACAATCAGTGTTCACCTGTGACTAAATAAAGAGGAAATAACTATATTTCAAATCTCATTTAAAAAAAAAAGAAAATAAGGTGAGTTTTAAAAGAGGTGGAGAGCTATACAGTGGTAAAGGTACCCATAAAGACAAATGATCATTACTAAAAGATACTATATTGATTAACAATGCACCCACAGCTGGAAACAAACTTCATGAAGGCATTTTCACAATATATATCGGTACATGGAAATATCAGGGACTTTCAAAGGACATTAAGAGCATGTCATGATGGATCATTCATTCAGCCCAGAGGCTGTGGATTCTCTGGATTCAGTATTAGTTTGTGATTAAATGTTTAACAGTGTAATAGAACAATAATATAAGCACAATTAGATGGGGTTAATGTAAAATTCAAAAAGCAATGTTTATTTAAACTGTTCTTGTCCATCATATGCAATAAATAATAAATAGGCTATACATCATACAAACATTCTTCAAGATCACATATGTCAAATAACATTTTTTTTCTTGTAAAAGCCACAGAGAAGGTAGGACTTCATTGCACAGAAGAACTTTTCATCCCTGAGGCCATAAATAAGAGGACTCAGGCATCTTGAAGCGACATAAAAAATAATGTAGTTAACGTACCTGAGATTAATGTATGCCTTGACATTTGTTTGAAGGACAGCCGATTCTATTAATGGACACCACAGCTGGATGAGACAAAGCAGCAGCTGGAAAGCATGAAGAATGACCGTTTTGAGCCCTTTCCATGTTGACTTTCTATCCTCTCCTGATGCAGCTCTGGCTGCTTTCATTATTCTAACATAGGAGAATACAATGGTGATGCACATAAACAAAAAGTAAAGTGTCTTTATAGCATTGCGTAAATGATCCTGCCATCTATACAAAATAAAGATCCAAACGTTGCAGATCATGGATTGTTTGTAGAACTTGATTGATGTGGATGCAAAATAGATGGAGAGATCAACAATGAAGTGAATGGAGCTGAGGCCATGAATGAGGAGAATGCAGTGCAGCGAGCAGCGTGTTGAGCACAGGTCGCCATGACGCAGGGGCATGCAAATAGCCACATAGCGCTCCAGGGTCATTGCTGTCAGAGTAAATGGTGTCACCGAAGAGTACACAGTTGACAAAATGAACATGATAGCACACAACCATAAATTCATGGTGATCTTCAAATAGTTGCAGATGATCAGGAGATTTGTGACAATCAAGATCACACAATCAGACAGCAGAGTAACAGCAAATAAGATGTAACGCATAGTTGTGTAGAAGAACTCCTTCGTAAAAAAAGTTGTGATCAGCATGAAGTTGATGCAAAGGAAAACTGCTACTAAAACCTGAACAAAAATAAACTTAAAATGCTCACTTTGCATGACGGATACAGTACTAACAAGTGAATTATTGCTATCCATGTATGGTAATAAGGTCAAATAGGTTCAAAAAGTTACTGGTAGAATTAACGTTTATCCACATAGAAACAAAACACAGCAGTAACACATGACATAAACAGTTATTAAAAAGGTTAAATGGCATAGGACTCTCAGATTACAAACTGTTCTTACACAAATGTGTCATTTGTGGCACAGTGTTTCAAGGATGAATGAAAGCGAGGACTGTGCCTGAAGGCTTAAATGAACACAACTAGAGCTCCAGGGGATCACCACATGAAAGTGACATCAGCAGAAACTGCTAACAAAGTTTGTGGGCTGTTTTAGTTACACTCCCACACATTTAGGTCCTGCAAGTATTTGTAGTAGTAAGGAAAATAAGTTTCCCACAGAAGAACATTCAGAAAAACACATGCACCCTAAATGAAGGGGCAAGGCTGCGGTAAAAAAAAAAAGCCTCTGAGAACTACAACTTTTCGATAACAACAACAACTTTAGCAATATCCAAATGTGATGACATCATTATTAAGAGGCCTTTTGTAGAGCCCAGTCTTTTCTTGGTCTTTTCTTGGCCTTGGCACTTGTCATAAGTGGTTTTAATATGTGAACCACAAAAAACAATCCCACCAAAATACAATGCATAATGCATAATATGCAAAGAACAGGAGATTGTCCATGTGAACACATTCTCAACTATAACTGAAACCAAATTCTGAATACACACAAGAGTGGAAAATGATATACAAGCCCCCCCAAAATAACGAAACAATGAAACTTCATGCAACATGAACCGCGTCATCGACAGGCCCACGTTTGCTGTGAATTGTCTGGAATATTACCTGTTGCTTTCACACACCTGCCCACTCACACATCAAACAGCCTGCTATCCGGTTCAACCAACATGGACAAAGTCCAGACTTTTCAGGATTGTGAGGTGCTTAAGTTACGAAATGTTGTGCTCAGGGCCACAAAGTTTCAGACTCAGACCTGTCTAATCCATCCTGTTTCCCTGTCATAACAAACCCCTCAATGAACCAACCAATTGCACCTGATTGGAGAGACATCTGCTGTTTCTAGACACACTAGGGTGCAGTGTTCTACTGTTTGCATTGAATTTCTAATCCCTGCCTTCCATCTGCCTGCAAAGAGCCAAAGCTTGGTTCTGTGAATGTGTGATAGTTAGAGTTTAATCAGTATCTTCTGCTATTTTTGAATGTGAGATGTAAATGTTTTCATTTTTGAGATACAAGTTGGTACATCTGGGCCTGTCCTTGTGTAGGGTCTGAATTCTGCTGTCGGAGTTCATTTGAGGCCTGATGTGACTATCTTGCAAAGAGGAGATCGAGATTCAATGAAATGCACTTTGAAGGGGAACTTCAGGAACTTCAGTTTTTGGCATTTCTGTGTTGACCCTTATTGTTCAAAGCAGGATCCTCCGTTGTAGTTGTTTTTAGTATTCATTTAGCAGATGTTAATATGTAAGCTTAACAAAGATAGTTGGCATGGTAAACTTAGCCATTGAGCATAAATACACGTAAACGCACTGTCATTAGTCCAAAACTACATTTATTAAGGTGAAGCCTCACATAGCTGCTGGCATGGGATGTACTCTAAAGGCACCAGCACACTGTATCAGAAGTGCTTGTAATGTGTTAGATCTGCTTTACATCATATTGAGATATTTTTTGAAGGAATGGAAAACCCCGACCTCCTTGTAACAATTAACCCCCCCATCTTAACAATAGTGGGTCTCATGCCCCTTATGGCTACATGAAGTTAAAGTCTAATCACCACTTTTGTCTGACAGTTTGTTTCACATTCAAAGTTTTGTTTGTCGTAAGAGTTTGCTCTATGCTTTCATTTACTAGCAGCAATTAACAAAGGAATCGAGAGGGAATATGAACGTGCTGGTGGCCCTCTGGAATCATGGTTTGTTTTTTTTCCATGTGAGGTAAGAATCAAAACAGTACAGTGGTACTAATGAGCTGATCATCACAACTCTCTTATGGCATGAACTCCTGTGAAACTCATTAAAGGTGACAGCTAATGGCTTCATTAATAATTTAAACTATTCACTGCTAAGTTTGTCTACGATTAAAGATGAAAGTAAGTTGGAAACCGTTGATCTGTCATGTACTTTATGTAATTAAAGACAGGTGTTATCAAACCTATTAACAAAATGCTTTTATTAAGTTCTATCTTACATTGTAAAATGAAATTGTATTTAAATGTTATCATAAATTATCTGCAACCAACACAAAGACAATACATCACAAACAAGACTAAGATTCTGGATGCACTTCTGCAGCTCCCTGTATTTGTATTAGGCTCAGATTTTGCAACAGCCCAGGTTGTTGCAGATAACTTTTAAAGGTATCTGTTCAGAGGCAGCCCAAAAAATTTGACCCAAAGACGCTTACTGGTTCATCAATGAAAGGTTTTAAAACACAAAATAGAGCAGTTCTTATAGGCCTTGGGTTAGAAGTTGAGGTTGGGGCGGTTACTTTGACAGACGGGAGGTAAAAGAAATCCTTTTAAATATGCCTTTCACAGTATTACATTTTCAGCTGGAATACACGGCCAGGTTCACTCACTAAGGAGCCTGACATGCCTCCATTCTGAGCCAGAGTCTGTCACTACAGTGCTGGTCTTCAGAAGGATGTGTTCGGCCCTTAAATGGTGGAAGACCCTGATCAGGTCGACCTGGTCGAGACCAGGCTTGAGTGTCAAGTTTATTTGTACAGCACAAAATCTCAGCTCCCATATTTGATGAAAATCAGTTTTGCCACTATTTGTCTTCCGTTGATACGTATCCATGTCGAACTGTTTAGGTTGACCTATGGTAATGCATATGATCTGTAAATGATGATTAAATATCTGCTTACACATCAACACATACTGTACTTTCAATACTGATCTTTTGCAATGATGTGAAAAGCCACCAAAAACAAAAATGATAGGAGGCACAAAATAGTTTTTCTTGGAGTACATTTTATTTTCCCAAAAAGCCATACAATAAACAACACGGTGATGCTATGTTGGATAAACCCCTCTTTCACATAGCCAAATATAGACTGTATGTTTATTGGCGATTCCATAATCGTTTTTTCAGAATCTCCAAGAGCAGCTGACATTTACTGAGCAAATAAATAATCTTAAATAATAATTTATGCAACTTTAAACAATTACACATCGTAGTCCCTGTACAATCTTACAGGCTAAAAAATTAAAGCTTTTGAACTCGTGTTTTGCTTAATTTTCATATATCTCTGTCAATGTCTTAGTCCTCTCGAAGATAAGCCTCATGCACCTCGTGCTCCTCACTATCCCACCTAGAGGCAGCATATTCTGCCATCCTTTGGATCTCCTCGACCTTAGTCTCAGCCAGCTTCTTGTCTGCATCGGCTGACAGTGTGCGAGCCTCCTCCACCTGCGACTGGGCCACCTGAACGTTTGTCCTCACTGTGATGGATGCGAGTTCTGCTCCTGGAAAACACATGCGAACATACATTTTGTTCAAATCGCTGATAAAGACTTTAGTTTGACATAAAACCAAGATAAAGTTCAAACATGAACTGTGAATCTTTATAAGTCACTCCTATCCACTGAACCACTTTCATTTTAAATGGTGTTCTTCTAAGAACACATACACACACACAGCTTTGCACGAGAACACTTTTAACAAACCTGAAGAGTGTGCTGCCTCTGCTGCCACTTTGCACAAGTTGACGGCGTTGATCCAGGCTGACTCAAAGCGTTTGCAGTCATCTAGTCTGTCAGTAGCCTGTTAGAAGAAAAATTATGTATCAAAAACATATACATTGATTCTTTTGTTTTTGCAAATAGTTGAAGCAGATATGAACACAATGCTAGAGTACTTTTATCGTCAAATAACAGTAGAAACCTACCTCAGCACGCTGCATATTGATCACCTCCAGGAGTGAATCCTCCTCTGCTGAGGTCAGTTTCCGCAGTGTGGCTAAATAGCGCCTTTGAAAAGCAACGCGTGTGTGCACAGCCTGTTAGCAAACAGAGAGGGAGCAGAAAGTCAGGGACAGTGCAAGACCATTTTTAAAGTAATAATGTTCCAATAGAAGCTGTTACAAGCTACAAGCTACGCTCTGTAGTGTCAATAATACATGAGTGATGACATGTATGAATAGTTTTATTCTCATGATGAGCCAAAGCTAAACTTGGATCTCTATGTGGATATTCACAAATGAAGAAACCTACCTTTGAATAGTCTTTGAGGGCATCGGTGAGAGCGATGGTGGTCTGTAAGAGGAAGGTACTTGAACCGTCTGTTGCCACTGAGGCAGCTCTTCTGATCAGGGATTCATGAGAGAGGTTTTCCACCTGCTACAAACAAACAGAGTACTTTAACACCTTCCTCCAATTGATCTTGAATTAGATGAAAAACAAATGATCTTTTTTTAAAGTTACAGAAGAAAATCTCTGGTATGAGATGGACCAACCTTTGTCACAGAGATAGTGTTGAGCCCACTGACACCGCTAGTAGTTGTGACGCTGATGTGTGCAGCGTTTGTCTTATCCTCCAACTTTTGGACTCCGCTCTTGGAGCTGCTGATTTGGCCACTCTCAGAAATGCTGCAGAAAATTAGACACAGAATATAACACAGTCATTATACATAAAGTTCTGCAAGAGCCAGTGATGCCTGATAAGTCAAATCTGAAGAAATCTAGCATCCAAAGTAATGTAAAAGCTTTACAAGAAAAATGTATTGTAACCAACCTTATGAAGCGGATACAGGCGGCTCCTCTCCTGAGCACACTCTTGTTGGTCCTAAGAACGAAAAGTCTGTCTGGTTTCGCAGAAGTCCTCCAGCAGCACCGCTGGCACACACCGAACACTGACGAACAGCTTGCATTTTGCAGATAAGTTGCTGCACTAACACAGAGATTTTGATCTATATGATGGAAGTAGTTGCTTACAGTCAATTCTCAGTTTTTGAACTAATATACCGTCCTTCAACTGTTGTCTTATCTTTGCAAAAGTAAGTAAGTAAGTAAGAGGAATAATCTAATTTGATGCTTGCGATCTTTCAGTCTGCTCGATGATGACCAACTGAGATTCATGTTGGTATTTATAGGGCCCCAGAACCATGTTGTTATGTAAAAGGCATCGACCTGTTGACTCTGTCTGCAAATGTGCGTAGTTGGCTTTATCTGAGAACGGCCAAAAGGACGAGTTTTACGTCTAGTTTGCTCACTCTCTTGCTCTAGTGTGTGTATATGTGTGTGTGTTTTTGTGGGTGTGTGTGTGTGTGTGTGTGTGTGTGTGTGTGTGTGTGTGTGTTTGAGGGTATTTGTGCACGAGAAAGGGGGACAATTGGAGTGAAAAACAAAATTATCTAAAGAAAATAAGTCATTTGTATTAGACCTTATGATAATGTCTTTTCATGCAAACAAAAAATAAGGACAGAATATTAATGTCTTCTCTACGTTTATATCCTTCATATCATGACAGGAAGGTGGCTGTAGAAGATTTTGCCGACGTCTTTAAATATTCAGTATAGCAGCTCCATCTGTTTATTCAAAGGTCTCAACAGACCTAAAACAATAGCTCAATAATGACAAATGTCTTTATATGCATTTAATCCTTACTATCTTCTAATATTTTCTCTTGTCACTTTAACAAAATTATTATATGTGTTTTTCTGCACCATGTCCCTAAAAAAATTAATATACAAAATGTTGCCAAAAGTTTTGCAATAGTATTGAATCTGGTAGCTTCAAATAACTTATTTACTAAGGTGGCACCCGGTGAGTTTGGATGTTGAAAGTTTGTTTTGGCCACCTATGTTGTCTGATCCCCAACAGTCCCGATTACTGACGTAAAAGTTACGCAAAAGGGGACGAGCCCCACAGAGCCGCTCTCAACTTGTTTGTCAAACACATGAAACTTTCAGGTTGTACAACGGGACTCTGGAGCTTAACGTTAATAATCAGCCACTCAGTCAATTACTAAGCAGGGGATGTGGGACCTGCTTTGTTAGCGTGCTCTTGAGATTTTACATCGTGCCTAACTGCACTGCTCCACATGGAAGTCATTTCAAGTAAACATCTCTTTGTGGGTTTCATCATATCTTTGCAAATAATGCTGATACAAAGAGATTCTGCTGATTTCAATGAGGTTGTTGGAGAGTTATTTTTACAAGACTTTTTTCACCGACAGCACCAACAAACATAAATGTGCTTTAAGTAACACCTATTAGCAAGTAATAGGATTGTGGTTTATTCTGTTCAAGTTCTAAGATACACAACCTCAAAAGTATGGGCTCGACCTACTCTATATGGACTGTTATCTGTCGTGAGATATTTCTTTCCTAATTTGGCCAAATATATAGAAAAATAATAACCAGTAATCAATCAACTATTTCTCTATTCCAGACCAATATTCGAGTACGAAAGGTAGGGGAAGCTCTATTCCAGTATATATAAGTCACAGAAATTGGAATGTACAGTCCTGAAATGTAAAGGACTATTCTGACATGAACCGTTGACAATATTTACCCTCCTCCCCCATTTTGTTCCATATATACATTCAAACAGACTACAACAGATTTAGTATCCTTAACATGTGTCAAGCAATAACCAAAGTGTTCCATGCTTGAGTTAGTTGTACTTGAAATAAAGAAAATCTTTGAGGAGCTGAACATTGCAAACATATTGAGGCATTCATACTAACAATATCTTTACTCGGGATCGATGGGAAAAGCAGAGCGGATATCAGTGTTTGAAATAACAATTTACATTGTTGATTCCAATGTTTTTTCCTTCTTTTAGTATAAGGCCCAAGCAGCAACCTCTGGTGTTAAAAAATGTGAAGTGCAAAATCCTCCAGGTCGTCGAGTGTCCACTGCAGAAGCACTGTAAGTCACATACACAGTTTTTTACAGCAGATGTTAACATGCTTACAGTCTGGGTCAACAAACAAAATTGGTCTGGCTATCACATTTTATATCAAGCTTCGTCCATTAATATTCACAGTCTATGATCTAAACCAGTTCGCTTGCTCGCTTCCATCGCTGCAACACCTGTTGGTTTGCTGTTTGCCTGGCAATCCTAGGGGCGTCCTAAACTACCATGTGGGGTTGCCTTAAACCGACTACCTTCTCTGGTCAAAACAAAAACAGACAAACGAAGTTGGTTCTTCATGTCTAGACCTCTCTTGCTATTCCTGCAGTAAATATCTCAACATCTGCAGTCTGAAAACCCAGTCTTTCACAGTCACACTGTAGTATCAAGCATTTAGGGACGCTGCCAAACCACTTTGCTCCACAGTTTCCAAACTGCACACACAAGTCAGAGCTGGAACATCTGACCCGGTCAGTTGACTAAGAAAGTCCACACAGCAGGATTAATACTGTGACAAAAATCAATATAAGGGATTCAAAATCCAGCTGGAAATGTGTTCAGTTAAAGGACATGGGAATTGGTTGAATCAGCAAAAAAAAGGGAAAACCTTTAGGGGACATTTCGCTGCCACCAACAAGGTTGTCCAGTCTGTGCTGGAATTATTTGCAAAATGAAACCAATTGAGTTTAATTCATTTTCAGATGTTCACCAGCCCAGAGTCTGCTGCCCAGTGTGTTCTTTTTACAGTCTATGGTGTCAACATGCACTATGCTTATATTACAGCAGAGGGTTTTAAAATGGAGGCAGTGCGCATTGCATACTATCCTTAGAATATTAATAACATAAAGGATGTCACTTTTAAATGCATTGTTTATTGAAATCCCTGAAATGCAGAGACATTTTAGGTGCAAAGGAACAACACCTAATTTAGCCTGCACATTTATTAAAAAGTCTCATTGCTTTCACCATAATTGCTAAAACATGGAAGACTTAAGCTAGCAGAAAATCAGTTCACTTATTAAGTTAGCATCTAACTAAGCTAGTGAGTAAATAAAGTTGAACAAAATTATCAGATACTTACCATACAGTTAATGGTTGAACCAAATAAAAGCCAATAAGTGAATATTGAGGTTACCTTTGTCAAGTGGACAAAAAGATATAGATGCTCCTTGTCAGCTGGAAGTGTGAGTAATCAGTAGCAAACATTTTAGCTAGCACGGTCACTAGCACATTTGCAGAACATTGATAGCTGGTTAGCTGGTTTATATTAGCTATACATAACTTTAAGTGCTGTTTGGTGTGGTTTCTACCACTTCATAGCCAAAACAAGTTATATTTTTTGTCTTTTGTCCATTACCATGTCTTAATCCATATAATAACAATTCTACCATGGTGGTACCATGTACCATGGTATGTACGTGATACATGGTACGTACTAGTACCTTATATATTACCATGGTGCATACCATAGTAACTCCCATATTACTGTGGTATACCACGTTACATACCATAGTACCTCACACAGTATTATGGTATACCATTGTTGTACATAGGCTACCATAGTACTGCACACAGACCTTATGTACAGATGTATCACTTTTTATCACCAACTCACAGCAGAAAGTACAAATTTCACTCTGCTTGTCTGAATTAGATGTTTTTTGCAACAAGGTTCATTTGAACAAAAAGGGGTATTTTGCCTAAAATGACTGTACAAAGCAATTTTGGGGTGCATTTTGTGAATTAGAAAGTGTCTTGTTTGTCGCTTGTGACCTCTTCTATAGCAGCCACTTTGATCAAAACAGGATGTTTCCATGACATACAGAGCCAATGGTTATTAAACACATTCAAGTCTAACTTCGAGGTAATTAGATATCAAACCGTAAGCAGTCCCCTCTGAAATCTGTTGTTTGTGGAAACATAACACTTCACAACAATCAGAGTTGTTTTTCATTGTAGAAAAGTTCCATGTTAAAGAACAGAACACTTTGCCATTGCCTCTGACTGATGAAGACGTCATTTGGTAAGAAAGTGCTTTCGAATGATGAATGTTAGATGTGTTTTAAGTGTCAGTGCAACTGTTTCTGTTTAAATGTTTGATTTGGAGGGTAAATATTGTATCTTGTAAATAGTATGTACTTGCAATGTTGTTGTTTTTTTCTTCTAACCATTTTCAACTGTTTACATCCTGTTCTATTGTCCATGATTTTTTAAAAGCTTTATTCTATTTTTAACTTAAAATGTCACCATGAATTTTTGAAGATGTATTTTAAGCATTAATAAGGACATTTTATTCATTGTGTCTTGAACAGATAACCCACATGCAAAATGCAGAATCTGACAGATTTTCCTGGAAATGCAACTATCCACAAAACCTTGTCTGTGATCATCAAGGTGTGTGTGGTTATCCCCTTTTTCTGCGTCTTCCTGTGCTGCATCGTTGTCATGCTGAATATTTTTGCATCTCACAGACAGTTCCTGGACACATCTCGGTACATCCTGTTTGCCTGCATGCTCATCAATGACACCCTCCAGCTCTTGTCCTCTGTGCTGCTTTTCCTCTTCATCATAAGCCAGGTGAAATTCGCTATTGTCTACTGTGTTCCTCTGCTGTTTTTTTCCAGCGCCACTTTCCAGAACACACCTTTAATCCTGGCCACCATGTCACTGGAGCGTTATGTTGCCATCTTCTACCCCCTGCAGCGCCCGGCGGCCTGGCGCTCCGACCGAATCTGGATCATTGTTCTGTCTCTGTGGCTCATCAGCTGCATTACCCCTCTCATTGACCATGCCATCATAGAACATGACCCTGCTGTGAATGTCTTCTCCACCCCTGTGATTTGCAAAACTAATTCTATTAACTCATCCCCGATTCAGAAATTGTTCAGAGCTGCCATGAGTTTTCTTTTCTTTGCAGTAGTGGCTGTTATCATCCTCTTTACATATGTGAGAATCCTGCTGGAAACCAGGAAGCTGAGACAAGACAGAGAGTCTGTAAGCAAAGCCATGCACACAGTGCTGCTGCACGGCTTTCAGCTGCTGCTGTGCATGTTGGCCTTCACCAGCCCCATCACTGAAACTCTTATTGTTCTGCATGTTAACTGGCTGCCAGGGGATGTGTCCTTTTTTAATTTCTTTTGTTTTATACTGATTCCACGCTTTCTCAGCCCGCTCATCTACGGCTTTAGAGATCAGATTCTCAGGGCCTACATTGCAAAAATGTTTCTCTGCTGCTCAAACAAAGTCAAACCAGGTATCAGAGGCAAGCTGCAGGAAATCGTGTCTGCGAGGTGAACAAAAGACTATGAGTGTATACTGTCAAAAAGATGGATTTGTGATGTTAAACAGGATATCGGAAGGTTTAAAAATGTCTACAGAGAACATTGAATTCAATGTTGTATTTAAAGGCTTAAACAGCTTTAAACATATGTTAAACTTTTGTTGGTGATCCTTGCAGAAACTCTGTACAACGTAAATCTGTCTTCATGTACAAATTAAGTCAACAATAAAGTAACATTACTTAAATATAAAGATTTACAGACATTTTCAATCTTTTGTTGAATAAGAGAAAAAACTTATTCTGATCTGTGAACAAGATTTCATCACAAATCGATTGAAACTGTTAAGTTTTAAGTTATCCCGAGCCTTTTTTTAATATATTGGTATCATTTAAGTTTCAAAGATCTGCTGCGTTAAACAAACCAGGGCTTGACCTAAATTCTGTGCCAGCAGTGAAATTAAGGTTATCCTGAATAAAATCTGCTCAATGAGCGTGCAGGATTGATGATTAACTGTGTGGCTGGACAAGATAGCACTTTAGTACTTGTGTAACCCACTGAAGATAAAAAAAATTAAAGGCCAAATTATAAACATATATTGATATATATATCATATATATATATATATATATATATATATATATATATATATATATATTTAAATTCAAGCAATTCAATTAGATCATTACACTGATATTTAGTGAAAAAATCCATATTCAGTTTCTTGAAGCAAACTAACTGCATATACTTAGGGTTACCGTGTTTCAGGCTGGTAAAAAAGAGCCAAAATTGTCAAACAGCTTCAGTGTGTTTGTTTTCTATGGATAAGGTTCAAATTTAAATGAGAATAAGAAATACTGAGTCTTACCCTGCAAACCACTGTCTCATGAAGACCCAAACATTCAAATGATACATGTGAATGTGTCCATAAAATACAAATACATACCCTTTTTACTTACAACCCATAGAAGAAAGCTTTTGATACACAACATTAGAACTATACCTTGTTATTCATTCAAATATTAAATAAATGTTTAAAGACATGTGTTTTGTGTAAATATTAAACGTTGTTTCCTGTATTATTAACAAAATCAAAAGCAGCATCAGCTAAATCTACGGTTTGTTCTCTTCATTTATTTTTTAAACACACCACATCAATGAGGAGAGGACATACAAATTGTACGCTTGACATAGAAGTTTCGTTGTAGTACAAATCTTTCACCTGCAGGTGTCGCAGTTATGTCGAGCTGAACTTGCACATGCACTAAAAAAACTTTTTATGGAGAAAATGATTAACCGTTGTCATCTATTTAAACTTATGAGAATGACTAAAAGGGAAACTATGTAGTACGTTTTCATTTAGAGAAATATAAAATTTATGTATTTTTTTGTTGCATTATTAAAAACATATAACTGGATTGGCAAAGAGTGTAATTGGAAGCAGCCTTTTTCAAACCCGCACCAGACCTTTAACTCCATAACTCGTGATGTGTTAATGTGTATTATGAAGCACTAAACCTGTCATCTGTGCGTACATCAATGGGAAACTAAATGTGGTGGATGAATTGAGGCTGCAGCGAGCTGGAGGTGAAAGCTGATCTCAGAGCAGATGAGGGAGATCCCCGTGTGGACTTCAGAGGCATGGTTTGAGAATCCTGCAGATCCTCAGCTCACTTCTGGAGACACACAGACACAGAGAGAAGCAGCCCCTACAGAGACGAGATGATTTATCCGACATGTGCTTACTTCTGTTGCTGTGTCCTGTCTGCAGCTGTGATTCACGTGTGTGTAGGTGAAATGTACACGTCGCTGCTGAACGTTAAACAGGCCATCAGTGTTGAACGGAAGCTGATCGATTACTTGAAAACTTACATTGACCACGAGTTAGAGAGGCTGGAGGACGTCAAGCGGTGAGTGACATGCATGATGATGATGACACAGTGAAATGCATGATATCTTAAAACAGATCAACTCATTTCCATTTCAAGGTTAGAAATTAGATTGTTTTATTATTTGGAGTTTTGAAGATCGCAAAAAGCCTACAAAGCTGTCTGTAAAGAATTAAAGAAAACATTCGCCCAAACCCTCATCAGTGTCAGCCTGTGGTGATGATATCATCCAGTGACAAACCCTGAGTCTCCTCCACAGACTGTGAATAAGAATGGAAGAAGTGTGTGGACACTGTGATTTAAGCACATCATCATCTCAGACTCACAGCCGAGAATCCTGCTTCTAAAATCAACCTCATTTTGATGTCAATGTGCAAAAATGATATGAGCCATGAGATAATGTCTTTGTACTCTTTTTTTTTTCCCCCCCAGCTCCAAGTATTTTACTTCACCGTCCAGTTTGTTTTATTAATAGCACATTGGAGAAGCAAACAGACACAGCACATCATACAAGGCAATAACAAATACGTGTTTTTCCATCCTGAAACCTGTTGGAATCCGAACGACTGACTGAGAACATGACTTCTTTAGTCACCTCTCTACATGATTCGACAGCTTCTCTGAGGAAATGACCGCCACTTTTTTTTTATGGTGGAGCTTGTTGGGCTATAAAATGTAACACAGAAGCCTTATTGTGGTGGCTTTCTCCTGCTGGGGGGGATTGGAAAAAGAGTCATTGAATGCATAGCTGTCCTAACAGTGTTCATGTCATGATACTGGGGTAAACAGAAATGACACTTAATCCTGTTTTTATCCACATTTTTTTACAATACGTTTTTTAAAATTGTCCCAGTTGAAAGTGGACGTTGTATGGTCTTTGTTTACGTTCATTCTTATGATGTTGGTAAGGTTTTGAAACCAGTGGATCTGGTTTAAAGTGTCTGAAGGAGGATCTTGATGAGCAGATAAAAGTGCTGTATGTTGAGATAGTTTTCATCAGAGGTTTCCTTGAACAGCTAGGAAACGCACTTAAGAAAAATGGTTACCCAATAACCCATAGCTTACAAGCAAGTAAAAATCCTGGTGTCTGAAACAGTCTGAGCCCTCGTCCTGTATTAGTTGTCTCAACCATTGTCCTTATTCCTTTTCTTCACAGCTTTTATTCTAAAGTGTCTGATCTACACGCTGATCTTTACAAAGGCCCGGCAGCCACGATGGCGAACCCCCTGGTCGCCTTCACCCTGATCAAGAGGCTTCATTCAGAGTGGCTGAATGTTGTCCACAGCAATGAAGCCCTGGAGAACGCACAAGGTTTGTTTCAGACACATCTGGTGATGATGACTTAACAACCCCCCGCTCTCTTTTCTCAGCTGTCACCACCCACCAACTCATTCCCAGTTCCGTTCACCTTTTGGCCTTTCTGCTGTCCAGCCCTCAGGTCCAGTTACGAGGAAGAAGAGGCAGGCCTGCCCCAACTGGAGGACCTGCAGGGGGCCGCTAAGGGTCTGATGAGGCTGCAGGATGTGTACGCTCTCCAGGTTGCGAGTCTTGTCAACGGTCGTTTCCAGAGACTCACTGATGGTGTGACGATTGACATCCACCTTCCTGCAGTTTCTGTGCTGCTGTCTGGAGATGATTGCTTTCTGGTGGGAAAGGTAACACAATCCATCATTTTCTTTAACTGCTTTTAATTCATTTCCTGTAGTGGATAAAGTTCCAGACTCACACAACACTCACAAGTATACTATAAAGAAGAGCATTTTCAAGAAAGGTACTGAAGAAATGATTCTGCAGAAAAGTGGACTTCGTGAGGGACATTTAATAAAAAAACACAATCAGATTGTGCTTATTGTTTTAAACACTTGATATACAATATAGGTCTGTAGTTTAGTGTTTTGGTCCATTATGTGGCAAGTACAGTTTGTTGTAAGAGCACATTGCACAAAATGCAGAACAAAATAACTTAATAATCTTAATAAAAAGTTAAAGGGCCATCCCCTTCCTTCAGGTGATAAGATGAGTCTCATGTCGATTTATTAGAGTATTGCTCCATCAATGAGTATAATGGAGGATTTAGTCCCTGTGAGCCTGAATCCGTTATTTAAATAAAAACCTTCTGAAGGCACACAAACCAGTGCTTATTTTTCATCTCTGCCCTGAAATTTAAAACAATGTAAGTGATGAAAGCGTGTTGAAACCAGTCTGTCGTCTTTCCTGCTGATTTTTCACTCTAAAATAAGATAAGAGTCATCATGCTCAGTAATAAAATAGAGAGATATTTGGAAAATGTTTCTGTAGGATTAACCTTCCATTCCTGACTTCTGTGAAATATTTGAATTTCAAACCCGCCCGTCACTGTGTGGTGGGAATCCAGACAGCCATCCTGGAAAAAGTGGAATTTTTCCCACTGCGTGCCTGAATCTGCTTTCAAACATTACAATAGAAAAGACTATTGACTAAAGAAAAAAACGGAGTCCATGTGCAATAAATTCCACTGTTTATGTACAGTGCTGATGTGTAAGGGGCAGTGCGCTGTGTGGGAGAGACTTTCTCACTAGTATGGAAAAGACATTATCTTAAGTTTGGAGCAGAGAGGCCACTTGTCTTCACTTGTACTGAGGCTGAGTTTATCTGAGGCGGTCTGTAAACACAGAGATGCTTACTGTAGTTTCAGGGTGTTGTCCTGCCTGCACGTGCCTTTATAGGGCTGTTAGCTGCTCCTCCGGTTTGTATATTCTGAGGATTTTTCAAGCTGTTTGAAACCAGAAACCAGATGATGCTTCTCCCCCCAAAAAAACCTGAAACATGCAGGTTATTAACTATTTTTAAAGAATTTATTGGTTCTTTAAAGTTCCCAAATTATGGGGTGTAAAGTTGTGAACTGAGTGTAAATCCATGGGGGGAGGGTGGGGGGGGGGGTAGATAGGTTACTGTTCAGTTCAGTTGAGTGGTAAGCTTGTGTGTGCTTATGTGTTTTGGGGGTTTTATGGTACACTGGTATTCCTGTTTGTGTGCTGTCTGGAGGGGTTGTGGATGTAATCTTCTGTGCTGGGAGGAGCCACACGTCGACTTGTCTCAGTGTGGGTGCTGTCAGGCCTGCAGTCAGCACCTACTTCATCAAGTCAAG